TGATTTTCCTGCAATTTTATTTTATAACAGCAATGAAAACTTTCCAAGATTGACACCAGAAAAATGATAATTCGTTTGCTCTATTCTCTCCAGCTCAATTAAAAACACTTGCACTTTTGAACTTCCCTAGTTTTGCACTTCTATGGTATTCTTTCTGGGAATGGAGAGATATGTCACAAAGACAGATTTTGAGATTTCTGTATAAGCTAGAAAACATTTATGAATCTGTTATCTGGAATTAAGGATCATTACTGTTGATATTCATTTACAGTGTCATAATAAACTTAGAAGACATATGCATGATTAAATGTCTCCAGCATATTAAAATAAGATACAGGTCCTCTCTGATGGTAAAAGGGGTTAAGTCTCAGCACTTAGAAGCTATCAGCAGCACTGCAGCATGAGTTTGACCCCCAGCCAGGGAGGTGACCCATAGGGTGCAGTAGACCCCTTCTGGCTCGCCAACTGCTTGCTTTAGCAGTGTATTTTGGTCAGTCCACCTGTTCTGCTCTCCACTGGTCTCTAGTGAATCCTTTCATTCCCCACTCCCCCCCACACACACTCACAACTCTTGTATGCATAAATAAATCTTCTAATATAAGACACACAATTTGCCCTTGCAATCTTTTATAATGTATCTAAATAACTCTGGACAGAGATGTAAAACTTCAAATTTCACATCTGCTATTAATTAAAGGTAACCTACTCCTAAAAGCTGGTAGTGGACGAAGAATCAACAAACTATGTCTTACCCTAGCAAAGCAAGTGTTTCACAGTCCTGAGTCCCACATGAAGCTCTCCATTTTCATTTGTAAATAAAAGTATTAGAGACAATTGCATAAAGACACAGCACTCTTTTGCAGGCACGTATTTTTTTACAAAGAGTTCGTCATCAACATTTGCAATAGGAGCTTCACATTCTCACTAGTGAAATTTCATAAAACTACATTTAAGATAGCTGTCATAAAATTCACATTCAAGAAACCCTAAAAACTGGTGGGAGATGAATGTCCCCTAAAATGCATTATATAGTTTGAAAACAAACGCTTATTTGATGTCTCCTTCAGGTTTGAACAATACTCAAAACAATGCAAAATCTCCAACTCCAATTCAATGCTGAATCTCAGGAGTGTAAGACTGATAGCATCTGGTGAGAGCACCACATTCTTAACCATTTATTAACTGACTGACACCATAATCCAAACCAGTCAGTAGCAGCACCAGGGCAGAACCTAAAGCATGTATGTGATTCTCTTTCCAAAGCCCTTTTTGTCATCCTCACTATCAATTCAACCAAACTATATGACCGGGCTAGAAACAAATGAACTAGTGTTCAAATAGAAGGGCATGAGTGCTACACACTCCAAAGGCAATTTAAGGAAGGGGATTCCACATATTTCTAGGTAAAATTTTCTTAAATTTGTTTCGATGACAACTTTTTCTAGGTTTCTTTTTAACGTTAATTCAAAAATATGTGCTGTTCAAGAATTCATCTCAGTATTCTCAAGATCTACAAGGACCAAATGTCTAATTGCCCTTGTCCAAAAGAAGGTTCAATGATGGAAATCTTTGTATCTTCACTGTCTGATATAGTATCCAATAGCCACATACAGCAAATTAAGTACTTGAAATGTGACTACTCCAATGATGAACTGAATTTTCAAATTAAAATACCCACTAAAGGCTACCGTACTGAAACCTGCAAGTCTACATAATCCCCATGGAAACAAAATTGGCTAATGAAATCATGAAAACAAAGCAGTGCATTCTGAATACCTGCCACGTGAGGCAGTTAGGACAACATGAAAAGAATACACCATTCTGTCTTTATGACCTCTGGATTCCAAATGAAGTCACACTTTATCAGCAATAAAAGGTTAATGAAATAAAGTAATCTAAGTTATACATTCAACTCATCTGTGAAATGTGGTTAAGATACTTGGTTCTGTGGGGATTGTGTGATTATTGTCTATTAAGTAAAACTAGCTTGTAAATTGTGAAGCACCTTTAACAATTATGCATCATTTCTGTAATTAGTTCAAGGAAAGGAAAATATGGCTATAAAATAATCAACAGCTATTAATCTAAGCCTAACCTCAATAATGTGACTGAATACCTGAAACAACAGTCAAGTGATTTTGCATGATGGGTTTTAGATTACATCAAATGGTGATCTAATTGTACACGTTTGTTCTATATTCTTTAAAGCTAAACCTTTTAGCTTTTAAATCACCAACTGATATGAATTAAAGTAGTACAAAAATCTGGCATCCTTCCTCTTGATACAAAAACAAAACACTGGCAAAGCCACTGACAAAACACAAAGCTCTCACCCAAAAAGAAAAAAAATTCAAGAAAGTTTTATCTTTGCAGTTTACAATTATGGTGGTACTAAAGAACAAATGAGCCAAGGTGCTTTTCAAAAACTCAATGAAAAAAGCATGACAACTGCCTACAGAAACATACATAAAAAATACCACTTTAAATAGTTACACAGAATGTTTAACTTTTTACCTGTTTCTTGAAGATTGTATTTCATATTATTCTTGTAACAATTACATTAATAAGAAATAGTCTGATAATTTAAGAACCTGAAAATCATGATCAAAATTAAAGAAAGCCTGTCATTATAGATCATCTCCCTCATATTTTACAATGAGGTTGATTTGTTTTTAAAAATACTGTTTAGGGATAATAAACAAAAAAGGGTCTATTATTTCAAATCAGCCTCACAATATTTCAATATGAGTATATTTGCAAATTTTTAAACAGAGATGCAAAGATATTAAAACTTGTTAAATCCAAGATTTATTATGAGATGGAATAAAATATATACTTTTAATTCTGACTGAAGAACCAAGAATTAAAATCAATCAAAAGGTAAGTAATGAAAATTCTTTGGTCACTATTTACTAATAAGGGCTTATTATATGAAGATTTTGGTATGTTTAAATTAATTTACTAATCATAAGTAGCAAGCATTTTTATTGTTAGTGATACAATTATTTGAAACCTGAAGTACTGATTTTATTAAAGTATTTTTAATATGGCCCTCCTGGTGGCGCAGTGGGTTAAAGCACAGCACAGCACTAAGAAGCTAAAGCCACTTCCCCATGAGTTCAATCCCTGCCTGCCCCTGAGGTGATCCACACAGTGCCACAGACCTCTCCCCACCTACCCACTGCTCCCCTCAGCAGTGTACTTCGTCAATCTGTCTGTTCTGCTCCCCACACTGTCTCTGGTGAACCCTCTCACTGCCCCTGCACCTCTGGTCTGTACCCCAGTTCTGTATGCACAAATAAGTAAATAAATCTTTAAAAAATATATTTTTAATAGTAAGATTCAGTTAAACATATATTTCCATATACATCCTTCTGTCTCAAAATGTATTTCCTTTTGTTCTCATATACTTAACTACCTACTTCTGTCTTTTCTCAATTACCATTTCCTTCCTACTCTTTGAATTACCTAAAAAATTAAAACAAAGAACTGTGATGATAAAAAATGACTTAATTTGTTTTAAATCACCATCATGTTAAATCTGTGAAACAAAGGGTAAATATAAAAGGTGATTTTAAATTACATAAAAGTCCAAAGGCAAACAATAACAGAAATCCTAACAAAAAGCTTAATGAAAATTTTATTTTGATATATTAAGATTCTGGCCTAAATTAGTTGGTTATTTAAAGTTCACTGAAAAACTGAATCCAGTTAGTGAACAATACAATTCTTTTTCAACCAAAAAGAATTAATTTTACTGTCTGTAAATTTAAAAACTAATTTAAAACAACTCTCCTACATAAGAACTAGTCTTTGTTGCAAAGTTATATCTTTAAATAAGTGGTATGGCTGTTACTTTACTAAGAAATCTGTTAACAGTCTAATATTTAAGTGTATTTAAAATATCCACAAAACAGGATAACATTATTATTATTAACCATGAATAATTAGACCTCAGAATCAATTTATTAAAATGAACAGGGTAAGGGCAACATGACTGTGATTTTAATGATATGTGATTGTCATTTTAAGAAAAATTCAAAAACTAAAATTAAGGCTACACTTCAAGTATAGTTTTGTGCATTTCAACCTGAAAATTACAGTCAGCTTAGAAATAAACTCTTTAAAAACAGTATTGAGTAAAAGCATGAAATGTGGTTTGATTTCTGTTTTTTAGAAGTATACCAGAAACTGAATATTTAGCTTACACATGTAGAAAATATTTGCTGATATTTTATGTCTCTGAAACTGCAAGCACTCTCACATAATAATACTGGGAATTTTCATTTTTCCATATCCATCATATCATTATGCGTATGGAAATAAATTGCTATTTAATCTCAAAATAATAGAAGCTGTAACTTTATAATTATCATTGCCATATACAAGTGGCACTGAAAGTTGAAAGACTTAACTAATCAGGGAGTGCAGATATAGAACCCTTTACTTAAGGAGACTTAAGCTTTGCATTTCATTGTTTCTAACTAGACAGGGAAGAAATGCTGTGAATAACCCTTAACCAAGAGTTTATAGACCAGCAGAAGTGTGATTTTTTTAAAAAACTCATGTAAATGCAGTTGTTTTATATTATGTTTTAGAAACAATGTAGAAAACAGAATCTAGGTAAAAGTGTCAACAATGTAAATTATAAACATCACTCTGCTTATTAAAGACTAATAATAAATGCATTGATTATCAGGAACAAGAAAGTAAAAACTCCAGTGATATAAAATTCTCCTCTGCCAAATGGGACTAACTGCAAAGAATCAAGGACTAATTTCCAATTTTTGTAATTTTTATTCCTTCATATTTACCAAAGTTTCTATTATGTATGGAACTGTATTTGATTGTAATGTTTACACTGTAAACATCAAACATTTGAGGGGGAAAAAGCAGGATACCCTGTTCTTACTACTGTGTACACTTATCAATAGTTAGAATGGCATTTAAAATTTTTCAAACTACCCACTAAAAATACTAAGAGAAAAGAAATGACAAACCTGAAAGAATAGCTTCTTTTAAATATAGTAACATATGGGAGAACTTCCTGATATCATTCACCAACTCCTTGATGTAATCCGGGTCAAAAATGGAGTTGGAACTTATGGATTTGAGCCCCATTTCAGAAGTTGTAACATCAGTAGAGAACTGGCCTGATGCCAAAACCCGTTTTTTCTTTGTCTTTTTCTGTTTGTGAGCAATCATCCTTTCATATAGCAGTCAGAAAAACGGAAATCCTTAAGGGGGCAAGAAAAAAAGAGAGAAACACAAATACTACATCAACAAGGGGAAACATACTAGGTTTTTCCACAAATAGTCCAGAGCCCACCCAGCTTTTCATTAAAAACAACAACCAGCTTCATTTATTAAGTGCCAGTGATCTTGATAACTCTATGTTGTGCAAACTATTATTCTCTTTATGTCACAGTGAGGAAACTGAAGTCTAAATTCTCAGCTGATAAATGATGGACTTGTATTTAACCTGGTATCTGCCTTGTTGCCAAAATCCACATTCTTATTAATGTCCTCTTAACTAGTTGGGTAGGTCTTTTTAATAGTAAGTAAAATGTAAAATGTTCTGAAATGTCCCTTTATAGAAGGATATATTCTCCCTCCATGAAAACACCTCCAAAAAAAAAGATGAACTCTGAAAAAAAGAAGGACATGCTTTTAAAGTCCCTCCCACCACCTACTATATGTGATCTGACAAGGTGGCAATTGTCTCTTTCCTTGGCATGCTCCTTTATAAGAGTAACATCTTAACAACATCAATCTCATGGAGTTACAGTAAACATTAAACAAGATAATAGCATAGAAGTGTTGAGCTCATAAAAGAGTTTCAAGTACAATCAAGTCTCAGTAACACATGCACATGTGTGCACACACACACACTGATAAGTTGTCAAGTTTCATCAGAAGTATATCTTTGTGAACAACAAGTTTTAAGGCTATCTGCTAATCTGGCGTACCTTAAATGGACAAATAAATGTCCAACTATTGGAATAAAATTTTGGCATTTCAGGATGGTACAGTAAAAACACAACCTTTGGGAATAAGAAAGATCTAAATGTGGAACCCGGCTAAATACTTAACTAAACATGTGACTTGTACAATTTGCAAACAGCCTTGTAGGCTGCTTAAAGGGAAAAACAAAATTTATAAACACCATCTCTTAAAATATCAGATCCTGGCTCATAGATGGAACTCAAGAAAAATACTGTCACTTTTTATCTTTCCAGATGTAAAATTCCTAATTTTGCTTGTATCTCTTGAAGTTGAAGAGGAAATGACTGGAATAATTAAATTAGTTCAGGCACTAACACAAAAATATTTTTCAAATGCTTTGTCTTAAATGTTTGGGTACTTTCAAAATGGTAGAACTACTAACTTATATCAAATTTACAGTAGAAAACTTTATGAAATACTCATTTCTTACTTTCCTATAACTTACTGGGTTCCACTGGTTTTTCTTTTTCCTAATCCACAGCTCTTCATCCACTTGTCTCTACTATCATACTATCATTATCATCTCTTGTCTGTGCTACTACATGTATAGTATGTGTGCAAAGGAATGCATAAAACTTAAAACAGATTCTGACCAACAAGCCAGGTATTGTACTCAGATGTATCCTATGCTGTCTCACTTCTTTTTTTTTTTGTTGGTTGCCACACTAAATTGGTTTCATATTCACAATGAAAAAGACTGTCAGATTTAGGTCCTGTCTATAAGCACTCCCACTTGCTGCACTACCCATCCCTTTATTTATTCATTCTGATCTCAGTTCACAAACCAATTCTTCAAAGACACCTTCCTTGACCATCCCCGCCCTAAAACTACCAGCAAACTATAGTAGAATCTATTTGATGTTTAATATAACATCTTATACTTTTCTTCACTGCACTTATCAAACTTCAAATAGATGATTCATATCTCCCTATCTAGATTATAATCTCAAGTAAATCAAGACCATGTCTGTTAGCTAACCAAGTTTTCTTTACTCAAAGAACAGTGCTTGGTTTACTAAGTGAACTATTCAAGATGATTTGCAGACTGAATAATACATTTGTAGAGTGAATAAAGGGTTTACCAACTTAAGTTTCAATTAATTTTTATAGAAACAAAAATGTTTCACTTAAACATTTCAAGAAAATCAAGTAAATGAAGTTGACTGAAAGCAAAATAACTGAAATCAGAGACGGTTTTCTATTATTGTTTCTGTTTGATTATTAAATAAAGTATGCCTAACATGTCCCTGACAGCTTTCTAAGTTCCTTTATTCCATATTCTTGTGAATATTCCATCATTTCTGAGAAATGTAATTTCTACATTAAAATTGTTTTAAGCCTGTCTGACATTAATCCTCAAATGTGTAGACAATTCCAAAAATAAACCGAAGGCAATATTTTGAGCACTATTTTTTTAAGCACTATTCTTATAGCTAAGTCTTTCCCACAACAAAAACAAAATAGTCAGGGACAGCTCTTCATTTGGGCAGTTCTTCTACAAATCATTAATTGAGAAGACTATAACTTAATCTTTTCACTTTTGCAACTTACCTCAAAAGTCAGTGATTAATTTTAATGGCATTTAGTTTTTACTATATTAAGGAACTGGTCACTGTCATGGGTAATAACTTTCAAATAAAATAATTCACTTGCAAATTAGTAACCCAAAGTTGTAAAAAAGTATTTAAACAATGCATAAGCATTTTTAATCAGAGCTAAGAAAAAGTTTACCAAAAAAAGTGTGGAGATGTAAAAAGGATTTTACTCTATCTCTAGTCAGCATAATGATGACTAATGTACTAAGTCTGTTATATGTACTTTACTACTTTCCAATTTTCAAAATGAAAAAAAGTACTGTAACAGTTGAAAAAAATCTTAAATAGCACAGATAATCCAAACTTTCATGTAACTGAGCTTTATGAGAAAGTTTGGAGTATTTACACTTTTCAAAATCATGTACACTTCTTTCAAAGATGTCCAAAAAAATTTTCTCTGGTTGGTGGTTACATAAAATGTAATTATAAACAGACTACAAGTGACAATTTAATTAAATGAGATAATAATATGAAAAGCAGTTAGTACAGAACCTGGTTCACCACCATGACTCAAAATGTCAGCCATTAAAACTAGCAATGATTTATCATGGAAAATTGTTTTTGAACCTACAAGAGATGACTCCACTACAATATATCTATAGATTGTGAGCAAGAAATGGAGGACTGCAAACATCAAAAAACAACTTACTTCGTGGAAACCTACTAAATGGCTTCCAAATGAAGTTTGAACTGTGCAAACAGATTGTTGAGCAAAATATTTGTGAAATTCTCCATGTGTGGCTTCCAACTCCAAACCATCAACACTAAAAATATGGTTTTCTCCACTTCACAAAGAACTTTGTAACAAACCAAAAATTTCTGTGTAAAATTACTTTCTCTGTATATTCTAGATTCTGGGTAATGGGTGCATCAGAAAATGGAATACGATCTTCTCTACACCCAGAAACAGGCCTTTTCCAAAACTACAGTAGTCAGTGTTAATCAAATGTCTTCCTCCCTCCTCCCTAAATGTATCAGCATTTTCATTTTAGGCATTGGGCTGCCTCGCTGAAGCATAAATACTGGCCCCAGATATCCATATTTCATAGTTGCCATCCTCTATTTCTACCTCAGAAAAAGTCGCCAGTATTTCAAAAATCTACTTTTTCGGCAAAACTTCTGATTTCATACGAGTCTATTCTAATGCTTTTTAAAAAATCAGAAAAAAATCATCCTGGAGATCTTTCATTATATTTTTAAAGGGCATCCCCCACCACACACACACAAATAACTGCATGTCAAAAACTTATCAATAATAATCGAGTAACTGTAATTTTAAAAGGAATGTATGGACTACATACACTTCATTCCTGTACGGCAGAGCCCAGCGCTTTTAAAACAGAGGAAGCTGCCCACCCTCCCACCCTTGCAGAATGTCTAGCATTCCTTACAGACTTCCCCCTTGACCAGTCTACCTCGTGCCCAAGAGCATATTCCGCATGCTAGAGTTCAAATACAGAGCAACCAGAAAGGCAGCAGGCACTGATTGGGGCGGAAAAAGATCTAGTTAAGTAGACAGGAGGAGGAAAGGGAAGGGGCGCCTAGATCCCGCCTTCACCAGTTAACAGACTTGCCCTCGGAAAAAGTATGAGTTCCGTTTCTTCTGAAGAAAGGGTGACTGATAACTATAAACATGGAAACGCAGGGCTTGGCAGTCACTAGGGCTCCAGTTTGAAAAGTCTCATACTTGAGCTCACCCGTCAAAAAGAGATTTTAAAAAGCAAAGCAAAAAAAAAAAAAAAAAAAACACACACACAACCCTTCATGCTCCAAACACGTCCACAACGGAATTAGGAAAAACCATTACGAATGAAAAGGCCTCAGAAGGAAACACCACTCCTCATTCGAAAAACAGGGAATAGGGAAACAAAGTACCGCGGAAATCCTCAGCTATCCCAGGAATGAGACCCCGTTGGGGCCAGGCTGCCATCAGGGCCGGTGACATAGCTTGGGGACTGGCGCGACACGAGTCCGAGCCACAACAGAGTGTGGAGTAAAACTGCCTGCAACTTAGCCTCTGGCCGCCAATGACCGGTCCCCGCGCTCGGGTAGGTTTTCATTTTCCCCTCGTAAAAGGGGAGTTTAATCATAGACCCAATGAGAGGGTCAACGAGTTAAGGTACGGAGCGCTGCAGGGACAGTACCGGACCGGGCACACCGCTTGCTCAGGGTGTCACCGTCACCATCGGCTCAGGGTCACAGCTCCTACCCTCCCGGGTCTCCCGCCGCGCCCTCGCCCCGCCGCGCCCACGCGAGGACCCGAAGCCGCGACCACCCCGGCCCGAGGGCGCCGACTCTCCGCCAGCCGCAGCCGCCTCGACTCGGGACACCGCGTGACGCCAGACCCTGGACGGCCACTCGCTGGCGGACACCGCGCGCGACCCCCATCGGACCGCGGCTGCCTCAGCCCCAGCGAGCGATGCCGCCCACACTCACCGCGGGGCTCCATCCCGCGCGCCGGACGCGGACGCCCGCGCCACACTCACGGCCGCCGCCGCCGCAGCAGCAGCAGCAGCCGCCAAGGGCTGCAGCTCGTCGTCCCCATCCCCCACGGCCCGCGGACGCCCGGCCGAGCAGCCGCAGCCTCCCCAGCAGCTACCGCCACGACCGCGCCGGCAGCGGCCGCCCCGCCCACCTCCACCCCGGGCCTCGCCTCCCGCCTCCCGCAAGACAGAGGCCCGTCCCCGTCCCCACCCTATTGGTCCGCTCGCCGTGAGGGGGGCGTGCCTGGCCTCAAGCCCAGCCCATAGGCTCGCAAGCCCGGGGGCGTGGCCGGTCCCGCTCCCAGCCCAAGAGCCCGCAACTCCCGGGGTTGCCTGGATGGGGGGGAAGCCGCCGGGCGCCTGGCGCACTGCGCAGGTGGGGCCGGCTGCTGGCTTTGGCGCGAGCGAAGCTGGCTGTCAGCTGCTCCTGGCCCGCAGACTGGCCCAACATTGCAAGACCAGTTAGCCACCCGCGGCTGGTGGCAGAACAGGCGGGACAAAGTAAGGGACAAGTCATTGCTAATGCGTGTCTCTCAGATGAGCGAACTACATTTCTTGTAAAGTACTTATGACCATCTGTTCCTCTTCCTCGAACTTCTTTAAGGTAAGTATAGCAAAAAAAAAAAAAGTTTTAAAGAGGTGGTGAGTGGGTGGTAACTATAACATTAGACGTAACTCAACTATTTTCCAGAAAGATGAACCATCTCAAAACCAGCCAACTACTTTGTCCTCCATAGAGATATTTTCTATCTTTTTTCCTTACTTTCCTCAACAGCACTCTCAGACTATCTCAGAATGAGAAATGCCTGGAAGATGTAATAATTAAAGAAAGCAGCAGGGGTTGAAAGCACATAAGCTTCCATAGCATACTATTCCCTAGAACATACAGTAGTATCATTTACTCAGCGCTAGGACATCCAGTAGGAACTGGTGGAGAATCAGAGGATATATAGAAGGTGACTGGCAGAGAAAAAAATTTCACTAATGGGACAATGAAGACAGAGACGCTGGAGAGCGTGAGCAAGAGAAGTTCAAGAGAGACAAAAATCAAGGAAGACAGTAAAAACATGAAAGCCGAAAGGGTAGATAAGAACAAGAAATTAAGAGAGAAGTGAAATTTCTGAGACAGAAAAAGGAAGTGAGCATGGTAAAGCCAACAAGTGAATTAGGAGTTGGGGAGGGTACAGGAAAAGACAGAGGATACTCACTGAGGGAGAAAAAAGAGGAATAGCTCTCATAACTCTGAACTTTTACAGGAAAAACAATACTGGAGAAATAAAGAAAATTCAGATACTACTTGGAAAAGATTAACTCCTGTTACTTTGAGTTCCATGTTGAATCCTTCAGACTCACATTACACAAATTTCCTCCTTCAAACCCCAAACACAACGGTACCAAGGACAAGTCACAGATAATCAGGAAACCTCAAACTGTCTTTCTGAGGACACTTACAAAGAAAAATAACCATGGATCCTTGCCTTGGAAATTGATGATGCTCCAAAATGAAGCACTCTGAAATGAGAGTTCAGGAGTCTCCAGGCTTAAAGGGGGCTAGAACAATGCAATCCTGATTAAATAAGATTTCTGAGAGAAGTCACTTAACCTCAAACACCTCCTTACATCTACTTTAAAATGATATTTTGTGCTATCTTCTCCACATTTCTCCCTTAATAAAAAGGATCATGTTCCTTTTAATAGGATAAATGACAATGTCTTGAACAAAGTCTGATGTGGTGTATATGGAATATGTGGGGTGGAGGGGGAGAGAAAAAGCAGCAGAGACAAAGAAAGGCATGAGAAGGAGAATCCACTGCAGAGAGGAGAGAGAAAGAAGACCAAGAAAGATTCAGAGACAAGTGATGAAAGAGAAAATAAGATGAAGACAGAATAAGGAAGGTAAGAGAGAAACAGAGAGATTACCCCTGGAAAAGAAAGGGAAAAGGAATACCTCATACAAACAGTTCTGGCTAGGAATGTAAAGTCAACTAGGCCCCTAGATGGTTATATGAAAAAGAAATATGAGAATCCCAGGATCCTTGATTACCTGAGTGGTACAATTATTTTGCAGACTTAATTTTTTATCTTGCCCACTAAGTCTTAAAAATAACTATCAAGTCAAAAGTACTGATAACTGAACAGGATGGAAACCTAAGAGGAGAAAGGATTCTGAAGACCTAGGAGGGCCAGGGTGAAACAGCCCTTAGGGAGCTCAAGGGAGGAATCTGACTCATGGATCTGCTCTGAATTAATCTCAAGACCTATCTCACCCGATCGTCTAAACCACCCCAGAAGAGCCAACTAAATGGTTCTCAATGAATATTATCTAGGCAGTTAAATTATAAGCATTTTGAGGGAAATTGAGAAATCTCTTAATTTCAATCTTCCTGTTAAACCTTTCAAAAAACACGTCATCTCCCTATCCATCTTTCTTAATAAGAACAATGTTTAGAAACATTGAAAAAAAAAGGTTGTTCACTTTTAAATCAAAAGCAATATTTTGTTAATCCCCCTCAACCTGAATTTTGTTTAAAGTATTTTTTTTCACACAAGTAAGTTTCAAGTATGAAAAGCTCATTATTGCAACACTATCTGCAAGTCCAAAATTCTTGGTTAATAATTAAGCTGTATATAGTGTTTAAAGACAAAGAAAAGACATCGGTTTATATACGCAGTAGAAGTTCAATATCTCAAAATGTTAAACAAGTTGAAGAAAAACACTTAGAAAAGCAACATAACTTAAAAGAAATTACTTGTATTTTTATGATTTGATATTATTATTATCTCCAGTGTTTTTTTCTTATCAATCAGAAATTCAAATCCTCTATAATGTTGCTGTTGAGTTATTCATTCTGACACCTCAACTTGGATACTGCTAATTTGTTCTTCACGGATTCACTGCTTTGTTATTTTTGTTAGGTACAGGTATCTGAATATTCCTATAGTTGATCCTGTACTTAGATAAATTACATTTTATAACAGAACATGGGGTTGAAAAATATTTGACAATGTCTGGAAACATTTTTGATTATCACAACTGGGGAGGGAGTTTTACTGACATCTAGTGGGTGTAGGCCAGGAATGCTATTAAAAATCCTACGTGTTCAGATCACTCTCCAACCCATTCATCACGTCACCTACAAAGAATGATCCAGCCCAAAATAGTCAATAGTGTCAAGGTTAAGAACTCTACTCTAGTTCCAATTACCAGTTTTAAGCAATACAAAGGGACATATTAGATTAGACAGGATGGCAACAGCCAACTCCAGACTGCGGGTCATTTTATAGGGCAAATGACTTAATTTCCAAAACAAGTAAATTTCAAGGAAAAAGATTGAAAGAAAAATCTCTAGATTTAAAAAGTCTTAAAAACTATGTCAAATGCAGGAGTAAATGAGACAGATTTTCCCTTCCACTATATTGTTCATTGGAAAACAGATAGCAGATTCTTGAGAGGTAGGATCACAAATAAACATAGTGGGCCCTACAGTCACCTCAACCTTCTCTGCAAAGGCACAAACTACACTGTGGGCACAGGATGGGGGAAGCCAAGCAGAGCTTGCTACTATTTATTGTTCAAGGAGACTAGGGCAGCCTAGAATCTGCATAACAGTACCAGGGGGAACAGGTAGAGAAAGAGCTCCAGAAATTTATATAAGCAATCACTTAATTCGTTTGCTGACTAGTAAGTTGCGCATGTGGAGTGAAACTCCACCAGATAGGCAAAGAATTTCCAAAGAGCTGTACCTGAACAATTTCAAAAGCTCCCACAGGGCTGGGAGACTTGCTAGTTTTCATCAGTCAGAGTAGAAAGAGAAACCTGTTGAACACCCAAAGTGAGATCCCAGCACACCATGTGTTCACAGACTATCTAACACAGTCCTAATGGAAATATTCTAGACTCATTCCAACAAAACTTCAAGACATGCCTTATTTTGTAAGTTTCTTTTTTCAAAATTTTGCTGTTTGAAGCTAAAGCCACTTCCGCATGAGTTCGATTCCCGCCTGCCCCGGAGGTGACCACATGGCGCGGCAGACCTCTCCTGACCCACCTGCTGCCCGCCTCATCGATCTGCCTGTTCTGCTCCCCACTCTGTCTTTGGTGAAGCCTCTCGCCGCCCCTTAGCCTCTGGCCTGTACCCCAGTTCTGTAAGCACAAATAAATAAATCTTTAAAAATAAATAAATAAAAAATAAATAAAACTAGTATTATGTTGTAGCATTTATGACATTTATAGAAGTAAAATGTGTAACAGTACAAGGGAGGAGGTAAGTAAAGGCATTCAGTAAGTTCATACATAGGGGACATAGCATAATGTTATTATTTGAAGGTATATTGTAATGTTAAAATGTATCTTACAATCTTCAGAGGTACTTATAATAAATGTACATACCAGGAATTTCATAAGGTTAATCCAAAGAAAAGCAGAACAAAGAGACAAACTAAAAACAAATAGCAATATGACAGACTTAAATCCAATCATATCAATAATCACATTAAATTTAAGTATTCTAAACCCTATAAAATGGCTGAAACTGTCAGACTGGATTAATAAAGTATGACTCATCTTTCTGGTCTAGTTCATTGAGTTTCTAGAAGTTGCTATTCAAAGACTTTTATCAAAACCTACATATTAAATATATGCCTGACAGAGACTCCTTCATTAAAAAAATGGAGACCATATGCCTAATGGGGAAAACTGTGTTGTTACTGACCAGTGGTATATGGTTATTATCATGTCATTGATTCCAAGATGTACTAGGTTTCCATAGTTTAAAATGCCTAAAATAAGAATTAACTAAGTGGCATCTGTGCTGTTTCTATAGTCCACCATGAGTGCATGTTGTTATGTTTACTCATTACAACATCACTTTGAGTAACAGTCGTTGGGTCTTCACATATTATAGTGAACTCCTATTTTGTTGGTATTTAAAAAAAAACCAAAAAACTTCATTTTAACGCCAGATCATACTGCCAAGCTATTTTTTTTAACAACGGTACTAAGTGTAGCTGCAGGCTGTGAAAAAGGAGGAAAAAGTAAGATTCAACTATATACTACCTATTAGAAAAAGACTTGAAATACAAAGAAACAAACTGAAAATAGAATAGGAATAAAAACATTATG